GACCCTGCCCTTCCAAAGGCCATCATGTCTCCCGGTGACATGTCCCTTACAGTAGTCGAGTGTCCAGAGGCTAAGGCCTGGGAAGAGCTGCCCCATGCTTTCTGGCTGGCTGCTGCTCACAGCAGGCTGCACGGTGCAGCCTAGCTTTCCCATCTCCCACCCCAGGGGCAGGGGACAGGTCCAGGGAGTTATGCAGCGCCCTCCTCTCCTGACTGTGCCTCAGCCCTGGCTGAGTTCTCACAGGCACCTCTGGAGGAAGTATTTGTGCTCTGGACTGCAAGTCAGCAGGATAGGAAAAACGAGTTTCATTTCTTTCAAATTCCTAGCTACATTTGCTTTCTACTGTCTTGCCTTTGTTTACATTTTTTAATTTTATTGTTTTGATAGTTTTCTTCTTTTGTGTGTGTATTTTTAGGAAAGGGTCTACAGGGTGTTCAGGGTCTCACTACTAGATCGGACTTGTAGTGATCTGCCTGTTTACAGCCTCCCAAGAGCTGGGATTACAGGCGTGTACCATGTCTAGTCTCAACTGGAGTCTCAGCGTGCCGCTGGCACGGCATCTTTGTTTAAATTTGGACCTCACACTATTCAGAACCAGGAAGCTTACAGCCACACAATCAGGCACAAACCCCAACTAATCCTGTGCCTCAGCACCAGTCCACAGAGGGGTGCTGTCCTGTCTGCCTCTGTCCCAAGACTGCTCCAAACGCCCCTAGAACTCTCGACTCTTTTCTCCAGCCAGCCACGCTATCCTCAGACACCTGGGACTCTGGGTGCCCACTGTCTTGGCAGCAGTACACAGGCCCCCTAGACTCTGAGACTAGCGAGAGCCTCCTCCATATGGCCCTTGACCTCTTTAAAAATGAAAACAAGTTATTTTTGTTTCTTGATATCTGGAAATCTCAAACACATACTTACTGCCATCTGTTTGGTCACACACTTAACCCTAACCTGGCTTCCACGGGCACGTTAACTTGGTGGAGGCTGACCACAGCTGCCCCCTTAGTTGTGCACAGTAGGGGACCTTACCAGAGGTGTCTGGACAGGCTGTAGGCTTCCCTGTTGTCTGTTTAGGGCCTCCCAGTATTGAGAAAGCAGTGGGATCCAAGTATACAGTACGGAGGTCATGGGTGCTGACCTCAGGCTCCAAGGCCAGCTAGGAGGAGCCAAGTGGAGTCCTTGTTGGTGGACTCCCAGGCCCCAGCCCGAGCCCCCACAATGTTCCTCCAGCTGCTGCAGACTCCCAGGAGTGAATGCTAAGGCCACTCATCCCCCTCAGGTCCAGGACCTGGGGTCCCCAGCCCCCACAGCAGCAGGTATTTAAATGGAAAACACTGCAGTGAGCCCAGCCATGCAAGTTAAGACATAGGCTTCTTAAGGTCATTATTTTAATTACCATTAAAATAATTGGCACCAGGGCTATCAGAAGGGGAGGCGATCAGAGGCTCAAGCTGCCCCTCCCCCAGCCCGGGCAGGCGAAGCCTTCAGTGTCTGTATAATTAAAAGCGCCGTCTTTCATGAGCACAATGAAGAGGCCAGGGGGTGGGCAGACTGCAGCCCTGCTGCATGTTAATGCACTTATTATGATCAATAAGCCCTTTCCTTGAGTCAGGTCCTCGGGTTTGGGCCTCTGCGTGACTGACGGCAGCCACACGTGTGCCCTGGGTGCAGGCACACACATACATTACACACATGCAGAAACAGATGAGCCCAAAGGTGCACACAGGTCAGAGTTCAAAATTACTCTCATAGCCACTGTTAGGCTCTCCACACATGGCCTTGCGCCAGACAGGCCTGGGAGTGGCCCTGGCTACCCCTTGGGAGCTGTGCGGCCATGCACCCATCACTTAGCTTTGCACAGCATCGCTCTTTCTCTAATGGGAACAACAGCAACTTCTGGGTGCTGCAAGGATCCCTTGTACTGATGGGGACAGAAGTACTTGCGATGGCTGTGATAACAGCAACTGCTTTCTCCTCGCAGCTCCGAGAACTGGTCAGTATGTGTATCTACCCCGACCCGGACCAGAGACCAGACATCGTGTATGTGCACCAGGTGGCCAAGCAGATGCACGTCTGGATGTCCAGCACCTGAGTGGGTGCTGAGCCTCATCAAAAGCTAACACCACTTTGCCTTACTTGAGTCTTCTGAAGCAGCCTCCTGCAGCCTCAACAACAGCTGAGATAAGAGGCTTCAGCAGATCCCCCAAAGGCAGCCAGCCTTTGCAGCAGATGCTGAACACAGAACAGCCAGGCGATGGTCAAATCTCAAAGTCCTTTCTCTGTACTGGCTGGACCATCTCAGCTGGCTCATAACTAAGGCGCATTCAGCAAGCCACCAAAGCCTCCGACATCTGGACTGTAATGTGAATCTTTGGGGAATTCCGAGGCCTGTCCAAGTCTACACTGGCGGGAGACTTGCGGGGGTGCTGTGACTTGTGTGAGCCTCTGACCGTGGTTAGCAGCAAGTTAATTCTTAGTTATCTTTCCAGACAATCAAGCTGTGTGCTCAGTTTACTCTGTTGTAAAGGGATAATGTGGAAATGATTTTTTAAAACTAGAGTAGAGATTTCACTAATATTTTTAATCTGCATTTTATAACTTGAGTGATGATGAGAACCCAGCATCTAGCAGAGCTTTGTGAGGTAAATGGCAGCTGAAAGCCAGGTTTGGGCAGCCTGGTTATTCATCTCCTGTACCACTGCCACGTACCAGGCACTCACTGTCACCTCCTGCAGTGCTGGTGGCTCCTTTCATGACCAGTGTTAGGCATTTCCCTCTGTGGCAAAGGAAGCCTGGGCTTTGTCCTTGGGCTCTTCTTAGCAAATTCTGGTTCTGCTCCTAGTGTGACTTTGGTCACGTTTGTTAGCCTTTCTGAGCCTTTGTTTCCTCATCTCTAAAATAGGATCGATACTCTCTACCTGTAGGTAGACCGAATTCAAAATAAAAGATGATGCAGGTAACCCCAAAGCAGTAGCTACTCACCCTTTAGAAAACTTGCCCATGGGCCATGTATATCAAGAATTAAAAGTACAACTGTATTATGCGTAGGAAACCAGAACCATGTTCATTTATTGCTTGTTCCCAAATAGGATGAACTGTGAAGATAATTTATAAATGTGAATTTAAGGAAATTCAAGCTCTAGAAGTAGTATGAATTGTGTTTTTATATGCAAGTTAACCTTCCCTGGTGTCTTGGTCAGGTATCCTGACCTCCCCTAGCTGACACGGCCTGGAGGCCACTGCCTGTCTTCTCGCTGAGCTTCGCTCTGTGCAACACCAAGATGCTGTCAAGGCTTCAGAGCAATCTCCAGATGCCTCTGCTCTGTATGTGCTCTCGTGTTTGAAATAAAGCAGGGAGGGGGGCACCTTCTGTGATTTGGGGGTTTAAAACCACTTCCAACAGTTTCTTCTTGAACTGGGAGATCCTAAACCTAACACGTCAGCAACACAAGTTCTTGAGCTTTGGAAAAGTTTGTCAGGCCCCAGACATTGTGAGTAATCTTGGAATTTTCTTAAGCTCCCCAAATGACTCTGACAGCCGCCAGCCAAGTGGCAGCCTCAGTAACTGCACTGACCTCCCGGGGCCCACTCCCAGCTGTTCCCAAGGGGAGCTGTGTCAGGTGGATACAGCCTGGAGTTTTTACGTGAGACACCACTGTGTCCTGCCCAGCAATAGCTGCTCAAAGTCTTCCCAATTCCAGACAGACTTTCTTTGCAAATTTTTCTGCTTCTGGCTCTGAGACCCTTGGCACAGCAGCCTCAGCACACGGAATAACTTGTCACATGCCACTGTCCCTTCCCGAGAACAATCTGCCCTATGGAACAGGGCCCTCTGGAGGCGTACAGTATCCAAGATCCCCAGCCTGAGGGCCTGTGACACAGCCACATCATACTATTTTGATTTTTTTTTTTATTTATTTGAGAGAGAGAGAGAGAGAGAGAGAGAGAGAGAGAAAGAGAGAGAGAGAGAGAGGTGTGTGTGTGTGGCCAGCTCAGCCCACCAGGGGGCGGGGCTGGCTGGCATGTGGTGCTGGGGGATCGAACCGCAGTCCCTGATGCTTTGCCAAGCTAGTTCCAAGTAGGTGCTTTAGACCACTGAGCCATCTCTCCAGCCCACATCATACTATTTTGGTATCAGGAATTGAACTTAAAACCTTGCATCTGCCAAACAGGACTGTGTCCCTAAGCTAAATCCCTGGCCCAGATAGTCACATCTTAAGTGCAGGACATTTCTCTGATGTCCTGAAACTGACACAGAAGAGCATGCCCAGCTTAGTGCAGCTATGGGGAAGCTGACCATCCTGTTGACCTTTTCTTTTCTTTCTTTCTTTCTTTTGGCAGAGCTGGGGATTGAACTCAGGATGTATTTATTTATTTGGTAGAGTCCCACTATACGGTAAGGACTCATAGTGACTCTATCCCTGCTTCCTCAATGACGGGATTACAGGTGTGTGCAACCACGCCCAGCTTAGTGGCTGTCACAGGGTGCCTGGGGCTCCAGATCAGGGATCAGACCCAGGACCTTGCGCTTGCCAGGCAGGTGCTTAGACCACCAAACTATCTCCCCAGCCCCTGTTGGCCTCTTCTTGGTGCTGCAAACTAAGCAGGGTCTCAGAATAAAAACTCACAAGATTTTTCATTATTCTTTTTGGAGATGGAACCCAGGACCTTGCTCTACCACTGAGCCACCCAGCCCAACTTCTCTGCATTCCTGCTTGGCTGCTGGGGCAGAGGCTGCCCTGCACGAATCACTCTATGGGGACACCAATGCCCCTCTGCCCCTGGGCAGAGTCTCGGAACCCCAGTAGAGGAAGGCAAGAGTGTTCTCCTAAGGAACCAAAGTGACTGCACAGCTTCAGGCCCAAGGTGGCCTGCCCTATTTTCAGGGAGGCCACACTGCTGACACCACAACCAGAATGGTTCTCCCAGAGGAATTAGGCACCTGAAAGGGAGGCCTGATCAATGGGCCTCAGTGCCCCAAAAACCACAGTCTTCAAACCTCAACTCCTCACTGTAGTTTTCATTTTTATTGAGCTCCATTCAGCAAACAGCTAAATGAGTATCTTCCACAGAGCTCCACTGCCCCCCACTCTTCTAAGGCAGCATCCAGCACCTGCTGACATTTCAGGAAGTGTCCATTGTTTGGACAGTCTCCTCCAGCACCTCAATCTCCAAAGTGGTGACTTTCTCAGACAGGACTGCAGTGGTCCCCTTCTCACACCTGTACCGGCCAAACCTAGTTAACAAAAACAAAGGCACAGTTAGGATTGCCCTCCAGGTGCTAGGCAGAGGGCTTGAGTGCAGAGTTCTGGCCAGGCAGCAAGCAGGGCCAGAGGTCCAGACTCTACTCTGCCCTGGGGAAGTCAAGCCCACAGGGCTCCCCTCCCATAGCTTCCAAGGGCTAAGAAAAGGGGAGACCTGGCAGGGATCCAGCCTTGGCACACAGAAGAGGAGTCCAGTGAGCAGCTGTCCATGTGCTCCAGAGTTCCCCAGTCTCTACCTCATACATGCTGGGAAACAACTGGGCCTTCAGGCTGCAGGCTTATACCCAACTGCCCCTTAGTAGCGTAGGCAAAGCCTCTCTTTTCCACCACGATCATCCTGTTGTAAGCAACAAGGCTGGTTCAGCCATCCTCTGCATCTAAGCTATCCAGAAGCACCTACTACAGAAAGTGTGCATAGTCAAATTCCCAGCTTGTCACTTTAGCCTACACTCTCATGGACCAGGGTAACTGTCCCCTGTAGGGAAATGATGGATCATCACCAAGACACAACTTCTTTTTGGGTGCAAGCAAAAGGGAGTCATCAGACACACAGGTGAGCAGTTAACTCACCCTGGGGCCAGGAGTTCTGACACGGTCATACAGAAGTACACGCCCTACTGTGCTCTGGTCTGCTCCCAGCTGGCACAGACCAATGGAAGGCTGCTGGCGTTGCCATAACCATGTGCTTCTGGAAAACTTGTCCTCTTAAATGGTTTCTTGGGCTCCAAAAGGGAGCAGGAAGCCAAAAACATGGGCATGGATAGAGTTCTACATCATATTTTGGAGCTGAGACAGAGGGGCAGATCTGACCTTACTCCTGCCAATCCTTCCCACAATGCCACCTTGCCACCCCAGGGCCTGAGGATGTCTCTCAGCCCACCATGCTGGGGCCTTGGCAGCAGCATGCAGTCACAGAGCCATAGTCCAGTGGTCACGTGCATAACTCACATGAGCAGTGCCCAATATCCATAGGAGGCAGGGCCACAAGAGGTCCTCCCTGGGGGAGGGCCTGTGTGGGACAGGCTTCCATCACCTCAGCAGTGGACAGCACAGACAGCACAGCACAGACCAGCAATGTGGCTCAAAGGGCAAGGGCCACGGTGGCACTGGTACCTACACAGGCCTCTTGCTCTGCCCCAACATGCTGCCTACTCTGAAGAGTGTCTGCCTTGCCCCATCATCAGTCACTAGCCAAGAATAACAGTGGGATTCCAGAGTATGGACACCATCACTGCAATGCCCCCTGCGCTGAGGAAAGCAGCCTGTCCAGAGGGCAGGTCACTCCCCAGCTCTCCTGTAACACCTGGTCATTTTATTTCAGTCCAGAAATATGGTCCCCTTTATAGGTGAGAAACATAGCTGTGACTACAGTCCCATCTCAACCATGCACTACACTTTCCAATGGTTCACACAGGGCCTTCAGAACCCTTACCCAGATACTGATCAGTCTGAATGGAACCGCACCCTCTCCTCTCCCATCACTCACTGGCTTCCATCCTCAGGCAGCTGGGCCAAACCTGCTCTCCCAGAAAGCTCTGTCCCTGACAGGTTGCATCCGTTCCTGCTCAAAGTCCAGCCTACTCTGTGGGCTCCTTAGAGACCTCCTAGGCTAGCTCCATTACACTAAGTGCAGGAAGACTGATGACCACAGCTACTGAGCCAGCCAGCTGGGACGCCCTGGCCCACAGAGATGCATGGAGCATCCAGTGACACCCTGTCCTTGCCTTCTGGGGAGTCCTGGAGCTTCAGATCTGCAGTGCAGATAAGACCAAGCACTCAATGAAAGCAGGCCACCCCTTAGCAGAGGTCACAGACACTTCTCACTCCCTTCAGTGAACGTGGCAGGGCACAGAACTCAGGAGCCACATGCTGGGCTGTGTGAGCTCCAGGAATAAGTCAGGAGGTTATAGGGTGGCCCAGCAGCTGGACACCCATGAGAAATTGCTGAGGACCTGTGCATATACACGCCTGTTCCAAAAACTTAGAACCCCATCCCAGCGCCCTGAACCTGGCCTGCACTGCCACAATGAGCCATTGACATGGTGTATACCACAGTTTAGTTGCACAACTCCCTCTAGTGTTGTGACATGGTCAGCTAGAGTCAACACTGAGATGCTCCCAGCTAGTGGCTTAGACAGGATGAGGAAAAAACATACCTCCTTGCACAGCTCTGTGCTGTGCTATGGATTCTCCCCTGCTCACCCACCACAAAACGGTGAACTAGGGGCTAAGGACATTTACCACCTAAAACGGGTCAGGACTTTCTTCTTATAAAGGGTCAAGTTATAAATATTTCAACTTTTGTGGGCATATCAGTCTCACAACTGCTTATCTCTGCCACGGCCCACCCATCTTTCCTACCACAACACTAGGTTAAATCCCTTGTCCACACCCTACCATGGCCTGCTGTCACAGCACAAATGTTGACTATAAGGTCTGTGTGTAAGGCTGGCTTGGGACCCCAGCTTTTCTCCACAGGGAAAAGTACTCAGAAAATTCAAGCATGCCAGAAGGAGGTCACCCATTCACTCACCTAGTCCCCTTCTTGTTGGGCACTGAGAATGGGTGAAGAAAGTCGAGCTTGTTCTTGCTGATGACACACAGGTCAATGTTGCTCCCAGACCCCAAGTCATTGAAGATGCCAGCTGCAATGGCTTCACTCACCAACTTCTTAGCCTCTTCCTCCTGAGAAAAAGAAGGGCAGCTTAACACAGAATGCCCACAGCGAGTTGCAGGCCTGATGTAAAGCCCCAAAGTACTCTCATGATGGAGGATAGGATCTTGAGGCTGCAGAGTGTTTCCAACGCCCATTTTACCAATGAAGAAAAGATCTCAAAGAGCCGAAGTGTCTTGCCTATGGCTGCAACGCTGCTCAGCAGGGGACTGGGCCTTTCAACCCTTGACGCATACCTTCCACCTTTACCATGGCTTCACACTGCAAAGCCACTACAAAATGGTGAGCTAGGGGCTGAGGACGTTTACCAACTAAAACAGGTCAGTACTTTCTTCTTGTAAAGGGTCAGGTCGTAAATATTTCAGCTTTTGTGGGCACTTCAGTCTCACAACTGCTCATCCCTGCCATGGTAGCATCAAACAGCCACAAAAACACATCAGCAAATAGGTATGAGTGTTTCCCAATAAAACTTTAAATATTCAGCAGTGGTTGAAACTTACTTCCTGGTAACATAATGGAAACAGTATCATGGGACTTCAAGGCAGTGAGACCTCTCCCCACTCCTAAGCCCAACATTCACCAAAGAGACTTCTCTGAAGTCCCCTCTCCTTTGCTCTGCCTAAAAGCATTAAGTCTAAGTCCCCAGCGGTTATTCCGAAGTACTCATTACTCTCCGTTAGGAAGACCTGGCTAGGAGTGAGGGCTGCAGAGCGCCCATCGTGTAGGTGTGCCAATCCAGTGGGGCATCAGACGCAAGTGACCACAGTGCTGTGTAGAGAGAACTAAGGCCACCCGAGCAGGAGCTGTGGGAACGCTGGTCGGAGCAATACCGGGCACTCAGAAAACAGCACCCAACAGCAAGCAACTGGGCACAAACTGGGGACGCTGAGTTCAAGTCCTTCAGCCAGCAAGGACAGAAACAAACCAACCTCCCCAAAGAAGGGAAAGCAGCCCCTGTGGCAGCCCTTCCCCACCTTCCCGGACAGAATCTACACACACACCAGCTGATCGAAGTTCATCCAATGCTCCAAAAGATTCCCCTCCCCAAAATTCAGCTTGAGATGCTCCCACAGCAGAGTCACCATCTGTGAAAGATCAGAGCCCACTCCAGCCTCCTGCTCCCCTGCCTGTTCCAGCCAGCCTGGGATGCCAGAGACGTGAGCACCCCCTGCAGACTAAGAAGGGCAAGAGGCTCCTAGTGAAGTGTATGCAGGCTCGGCAGACCAGAAGCAGGACTAGGGGGTTATTTTTATCTTTACCTCCCACACATTTTTCATTTCCTGAATGATGCACACATGGGGTCAAGGAAGCCAGTTATTCTCATACAAATACAGCCTCTTAAGAATTCTCTCAAATCAGGTCCTCTAATCAGGAACTCTCCTGGGACTCTCCGTAGCCTTACCCAAGCCAGTATGGTGTAGCATCATTCCAGCACTCAGAAGGCTGAGGCAAGAGACTCGTGAGTTTGAGGTCACCCTGAACTACACAGCCCCTGTCTCAGAGAAGCAGTAAATACACTGCTCCAAGAAAAGCCTCAGGTAGCAACAAAAGCTCCTCAGCCAAGGAGAATGACCACTGCCACCACAGACAGCAAAACCCAACCACCAATGTGCTCCAGCAATCTTATTCCAGTTTGCTTCACTGACTCACCAACCTTAGCCACTCAAGTGTGTGCATGCACACAAAGCACCTGGCTCAGGCATGTTCCTGGCTGCATCGCTCCCATCCCTGCTCTTCCATCTTAATATCTAACCCTTTCCTTTACTTCATCTTCCCCACCACTGCTGCTGGTACCCTGCGCCACCTCAAACCAGCCAACATACCTAATGGACATTACAAATCCTGCTGGCAGTACTTAGGACTGCACATCTGTATTCCTCCAGGGGTTTTATTTTGAAGGCCAGGGAGGGGGCAAGATGTAAAGAAACCAGAAATACACACCTGATAGTCAAGGTGTGTATTTGACTCTTAGTAAGAGTCAATCTATGTGACTGTGCACACAGGAACTAAACTAATAGTCCTAAGGAGTACAGAAGATTTCTTCTATTTTACAAATATTTTGTAACATGGCTGCATAACTGATAACATTTATAAATGTAGCTTTTTTTTTTCATACCAGAGATTGAACTCAGGATCTCAACACTTGCCAGGAAGGTGTGAATGCTGCTGAGCCATCACCTCAGCAATGTAGAAATGTTGAAATGCATCAGGTATAGTCTGATATACTATGAAAATTACCAAGTGTGCTGTTAAGTGTTAAAAACTAGAAAAGGGTATCTTTTAAATTTCTTTCCTCTCCACCAATTCTAGGGAAGATAATTCCTTAAGGTCTTCTTACGAGTTCCTGACTCCCCCACCCCCCAAAGTCACCCCCTTATGTTTATAGGACTGAAGATGTTAAGAAATGGCACAAATCTTAACATTTATAAAGCAACTACTAGGGCCAGTGAGACAGCTCAGCAATCTAAGTGTTTGCTTAGGTAAGCACAGGGGCCAGGGTTTGATCCCTGGCACCACATGCTGTGCCGCTCCCCCCACTTCCCTTGTGCTGAGTTTGGCAATGGAGTCTAGACATGGTGGTGCAGGCCTGAAATCCTAGCACTAGGAGGGCAGAAAACAGAGGATCACTACCAGTCCGAGCTGCATAGTGAGACCCTGCACAAAAACAAAAAAACCTATAAAGCACCTACTATAAGGGGCCAACTCAAGTAGGCATTGTCTTTCTTTCTTCCTTTTTTTTTTTTGGTCTTTTTGAGAGTCTCACTATGTAGCTCAGGCTGGCCTTAAGCTCACTTTGTAGCCCAGGCTGCTCTCAAACTTGCACCAATCCTCCTGACTCAGCCTCTGAATGCTGCAATTACAGGCATGTGCCACCACATTCAGCCTGAGTTAGGCATTCTGACACTCTTCATTTTGTTTACTTCTGCTCCTACCATCTTTGGAGTCCAGGATTATCACAGACTATGGCTGAGAGGCTCAGACGGCTAATGACTAGTACAGAGTAGAACCAGTCTTTCAGCAGTCCTCCTTGGGCTGGGGACTCTTCATCAGGAAGAACCAGTAGAGACCAGTTCTCCTGATTCAGGGCCATATGGCTCTCCATCATCAAAGATCCTCAGAACCTAAGCAAGCTTAAGAGAAGGAAAATGGTAGCTGCCGATTTCTCACTAGGCCACCAGCAGCTCCTTTGACACTGATTTCCACTGCAGCATCGGGAGAACTGTGTTTCCCAAGTTACCCACAGACCAACCACCTGAAGGGCCTTCTTTGTTCTCAACCACACTGGAATAACATTCCTGATACAATTTCAAAGATCAATATTGAGATTGGAGGACTTGCTAGGCACAGTGGCACAGGCCTGTAATCCCAACCACTTGGGAGACAGACAAGAAGATCACAAGTTCAAGGCCAGCGTGGGCAACTTAGTAGAAGCCTGTTTCAAAACGAAGTAAAATTGTAAAAAGGGGTGAGGATATAGTTTAGTGATCTTAGTGCTTGCCTTACATACATGAGACCCTAGGTTTAGTTCCCATTAAAAATTAAAAAGCTTGAAATTTCACATATTTCTCCCCTTAGCACCAAAAACTCTCAAAACACAGATGAAAATTACCATCATTCTACTGTCTGCCTATTACTTAATCTCATCAATAAAAATTTCCAGAGACCTACTGTGTTCCACCAACTGCTTTATAATGCTGAATACTGTCTCTGTCTACAGTATGCCCACACAGAAGTGTAGACACATATGCAAATACACTCCTGGGCATATTCACGCTGTGTTTTCTTTATAGTGAAATTTTGCAATTAAACAACTTTTGTCTTTAACATGTGCTACCAAATATTTGAGAAAACTTATCAAGAAAAACCACAAACTAAAGGCAAGAGGTGGGGAAAACACCACATTTTTATCTGTCTCTGGTCCACAATAAATGCAGGAAACACTATCTTCCTTTAGGAGAAGATTCACTGTTTCTAGGGAAACTGCCCTTCTCTTTTCTGGAAGATACAGAGTGACTTGAGTCCTGAGCGCATCTGTCTGGAGATAGCTGTGACAGAGGGGTTCTAACCCTACAGAGCCGGTGTCCCCGGCTGGCCAGGCCCAGGTGGGACACTGCCTGCTGCCTGGCCAGCGGCCTCCTCCAGCTAGCTGTTCATGAATTTATGCTGCTTGTCCCAAGGGAACCTAGAGATTCAGTGCATATAGTGGGACTCATGCCTGCTACTAGAAAAGAGGCTTCTAGGACAGGGAAGCTTCCTTTTTCAATCTGAATTCAGCCAAAAGAACACCATGACCCTGGTGACTACATGCCAGTGGGAGGATCCAGCTTCAAGGCCAACAGGCAGATGCAAAGGCAGACAGACTTGGCTCGCAGACCCAGACCCCTACAAACCTCTGTGTGGCCCTGGGCAGGTCACATTGCCTCTCTGAATTCATTCTCCTGCTCCGGAATATAATAATAAGTTGCACCTCACAGAAATGCTGCACAAATTAGAAAGTAAGTATAAAAAGAACCTATTATACTTTGGCTTACAGCTGTTGCTTAGTAACTGGTGACTTACTGATGAAAGTAAGTCAGAGGGCTCCTGCAACAGTTCACCCCTACACAATGACCACTATACCCAAACCAAGAGACAGTGGTCCAAACAAACCTGCTGACAGATCTCACCCTGTTCCATAGAGAAGTTCCTGTAATAATTAATCCAAGCAAAAAGCATACTCCCTAAAAGTTCAGAGAATATAAAAGGAACACTTCCTGCTTTATGGCTACAAAGACCAAACTAACTGGGAATATCAGTCCCCCGGGCCACCCCTGCTTCTTAAATGAGATTACACTAAGAGTGATGGACTGTACTACAAGTCAGCTGTGACAAGCAGCACTTTATAGAGCTATCTGTTTGTCTCCATCACTGCATCGCACAATGTGTCCCTGGACTCCAATGTGCAGCTCCATTTACCGCTACATGACAAATGGGCAGCACTTGTAAAAGGCACAAAGAGGTCCACATCGGC